TAATTCTTCGTTATTATTTTTTCAGTTCATAGCACAAAAGCTTACAAAATCAAGTATTATACAACTCTTAAGCATTACAGAAATAATAAGGCTTCTATTCTCTTGACCTTGAGCATTTTTTAATCATTATGCAAAATGGTTGAATGCTTAATAATTCAGAACAGTAGCTCATTCCATATAAAAATAAACATTAAATAATCCCCCAAAAAACATTTATTTTTGTACATTATACATACATTATATTATGTATGAGAGAGAGAAAGATAATGTCTTCGTTAATCATTTGTTGACTCTTATACCCAGTGGCGTAACATACACCCTCCGCAACCCCTGCAGTGAAGGGGCCCAAAGTCTGACTGACGCTAAGCACGTATCCCTTGTAAGATCCGGCTTGGGACCCAAAAACATGACTTTTCAGGGTTAGGGAGGGGGCATAATATTCTCTGTTACGCCACTATTTATACCATAGATAATACTGAAATTTTACGCATTTATCACAAAAAATGTCTACATTGTAAAAATATTTTAGAGTATAATAAAGCTTCTATGAAATTTTTACTACATAACAGTGTTAAGCATATGGAACGAAAGCACATTGCTGTTACTGAAAATTGCAACGCCGTGAAAGAATCATGCGTATTAAACAAACCTTTCAGAAAATACAAAACAAGTTAGGATAGACATGAAAATTACAGATTTGATTTGATTTTACTTTACTTCGCACTGTGAAGCAACACGAGAGCAACTGCGATGACGGACCTCGCAATTTTGAACCATGTTCAAGTGACGGGGATTATATCTGACATGTTACCTTTCCCCTCGGAGCTTCCACACCACGTCAACTAGAATAACAGAACGATCATTCATTTATGGACCAAGTACCCTCAATAAATTCAAAGTAATGCATAAAAAAAACCTGAAAAGATAGATTGAAATGTGTATAAAATCGTTTAATGGGTGAAAATAATTAGTTAAAAGTCAATTGACCTCGTTGAAAATACAGAATATCATATAAGAATCTAACTGAACTCGAGTGGAGCCGTAAAATCGGTCTCCGTGAGGGCGTTTCCACTGGTATAGTGGTGACAATACCACTTTTAACGTGATGTCTCTCTTCGCCCGAGATTTAATGCTATAACAGTGATAGATGTGAGAAAAAAATGGACAATGGAGATATATCAGTTGCGGGCCACGCAATATAATGTCTCGGGACGACAGAATTCATCTGCATAGTGGTGATGGACAGAACAGCGTGTTCTCATTCATAGGGAAAACCTACTTTTCTCTGTGTTTTCAAATTCAAATTGCTTTCTGTGTTTGTTTATAAATTCCTGAGAACTTAGGACCCTCATAGACATTTACGATCGTTAAAAATGACCGTGCAATTAAATTTTTTATTAATAAGTTAAAAAAAGAGATAAATTGTGAAAAATACTGTCCTTTTTTATGGAATTAATCTTCTTATTATTTTTTAGAATTTCGAACATTAAACTAAAATTATTTACATAAATTTATAAGTTGTAATTACATATTTGAACTATTTTAAAGAAATTTAAATGCTGAAGTGTTGTGTAGTGTTATATAATAAAAATATAAACACATAAATGTGTGTTATATAATAAAAAATACATTTTTTTATTCAAAAGATGTGCATAATACCAGCTTAATTATGATATTTTGATTTTCATTATTTGATTTAACACACGAAATACAAACTACCATTTGGATTTGCTATAATTTTAATAAACATCTTATCATCTTTTGTTTACGTATTCATAAGTAAGTTATGAATATATTATTTATTCATTTATATGTATTGTAACTTTTTTCCGCCACGCAGCTACAAGAGCGGCTTTTTTATGCAGATAGCATTTGCAGTTCATATCCCCACGTGCACCCCTAAAATATTGCGGGGCTTTTCATCTGATACCACGCCGACAGCTGATGGCCTTGAGAAAACGAATGCTGAAATCCGCTTGGGAGTTGGAAACCCGAGTATAATTCGAAGTATCAGAGGAGATCGCCCCCACCTTAAGAGAGTGAAGAGGCAGTCCGTTTTGAAACACTTGCATCCTCCTTCATAAATAACATATCTGTAGAATGGGTAAACTCAATAGTTTGAGTAACTTGTAACCAAATGTACATATTGTATAATTAAAAGCTGTAAACATAATAAGCCAATAATCTAATTTCTTAAGTCTCATGCTACCCATCAATTATCCCAAAACGTTACAGCACATTTTACTTTCCATTAATCAAATGCAAGTAAATGTAACCATTGAACTTTAGAGTGGAATAAAGAAAAATTTATAAATTGAACTAAAGTCTCATTTACTACATTAGAATTCCTGGCTTTATGCATAGACTTTTCGACCTTATTTTACAATTGTGGGTTTGAGTTTTTCCACCTAGTACAACAAAGTAAAATTAAAAGCATTGCTATATTCAAATTAAATATGATGGATTTTCAATGTTTATGATGGTATAAAAAGTAGAAAAGCGCGAATTTACAACACCAATTAACTAAAATAGAAATACATAATCTAAAACTATTTACTTATGTTTTTAGAATTTAAAAAAAAAAAGAAACTTTCTTTTTTTCCTTTTCGAAAACAAATCTTATTCACCAGCATTTGTTATACGTATCCTTCCCTTATTCAAAAATGGCGCAAATGGTAAGCCCTGTTTTCATGCGTGTGCTTTACTCGGTACTTAATAAAAGAAAAGAAATTTAAGACACCAGGGTAAAAAAAAATAATAAAAAAACAGTGCTCCGAAGAAAAGAGAAACGAGGAGGAAAAAAGGCAAAGAAAATAACTTTCATGCAAATGGACTTCATAACTCCGGCTCGGGATTTAATATGCAGCCGCCGACTTGATATATTTCTTGACAGCTGCTTTTACTTAGGGCATTAACTTCCTCATCAGGTTTTAAAGGCCTTTCTTTTCCTTCTTTTTTGTTTCCTTTTTATTCGTTCCCTTCGCTAGTAGCATTTTCTTTTATGTGTACTCTCTCCCTCTCACTTTAAGAAAAAGGAAAAAATAAAAAAAAGGGGTAAAAAATGAATTAGTTATTGCATTCTCCGGTTTTAGGTTCCTTTATTTATTAAGTAAATGATTGAGAATTAACGAGTGCAGGTTTTAAGTATTTCCTAAATGATATTTTCTTTCTAATTTTTTTCCTTGTGGCTTTCATAAAGAAATGGTGTCGACGTTTTTCGCCTTTCGTGCTGTTATTGCCGAAGAAAATCAATTAAGAGAAGCGGTGCATAATGTAACTTAATAAAATGGCTTTACTTAACCAAGAATTTCAATAGTTTTATTCTAAGTGCGTTTGAATATGTAATTGCAATATCTAGTTTCTTGAAGGCTTTACGGAGTAAATGTTTTCAGATTTGGAGAAGAGGCAAAAAAATTAACAATACTTATGTAATTAGCCGCTTAAAGCTATGTTAACATACAAATGTGTTTTCGTTTCCAAAGATTCCTTTGGTCATTTCTGGTTAATGATAAAGTAAGTAAAAAATATTTTTTCACAAATATCGCACGCAAGCTTTTGTGTTATTTTATTTTGACAAGCTCTAATAATGTTTCTTCGGCTTCTTTCTTTTTTCTTCTTTTGCTTTATTGAGGAACATGCGTAGAAAATAGCTCACGCTCCATTGTTAGTGCATATATTCTGTTTCGTATCGTTCCTTTAATATTGGTTTTGAAAAATTTCATGTAGAGTTTTCAAAGACAAATTGTGTTCATTACAAATAAAGAGACGTAATATCTTTAAATCTGTAAAGAAAAATATTGTTTTTAAGTGCTATGTAAATTTCAACTTTGCTTCTTGATCACAATTTTTAACTATTGAAACAGATTCTCTCTCTTCGAAAATAGATTTCCTCAAGGGTTCATGAGACGCCTAGAAAATATATGGAGAAATATCATGGAAAGTCCAATGAGGAAAAAATTCAATCACTTTTTCCAAAAATGAATTGAAATACTTTTTTTTCTATGATGTACATCAGTAATTCCTAAGCATACTGGGCTTATGAACTCCTTTTTATACCAAAACTTTGAGCGTGATCTCCCCCAGTGAAATAACTCTATTTTTCAATTCATAATAGAAAAATACAAATTTAACTTTAATGTTCTGCAAATGGTAAATGAAAATAATATTGATAAGCATTGTATAGTAACATTATATTATAATTGTGAACTTTGACAAGTGTAAAACTTTGGTTGATAAATTTATGTACTAGGTATCAATTTGTAACGAACTCTGGACCCGTTCTGAAACTCTAGGTGGCAACGCGAGCTAATCCGAAGCACTGCGCATTCGCGATGATTTTTGTGCTCCATCCGTGAGCGTAGTGTGGAGATTTGGAGAGAGAGTGATTTCCTCTCGACGAGAGAGATTGTATTTTTTGCTCCACCAGCGAGCATAATTTGGATTTGTAAGATGGACAAGCGAGTTTTGAGTTATGGGTTCGATGCCACACCGACTTGCTTTATTTCTGTACAAATGTCATGAACTCATTTTATCTACGATTTTTACTTAAAAAGTATAAATAGGGTAAATATTTAATGTCTGTGAACTGTCCTGTGTGTTTCAAAATAAACCCTCAAAATATCAATCAAGTTTCCTTACTTACATGGCTAGGACGTTACAAATTGTATTCCTACGTAACGTATTTTATGTTCTTAGCAATACAAAAAAAAAGTAATATAAAAAGAATTAAGTCAATTCCTACTTACGTCAACAAAGAAAATTTTTATTTTAGTTACTTTCTATTAAATAGTTACAATTAATATAAAATGTATATACATATGATAGAATCACAATATTAAGTGACAAAATAGAAAGCGATATTCCTTGCAATTTTCCATTTTCCTTTCTATATAGGGTGTTGGACTATTTTTTGTTTGATTCTATTTATTCACTAAAATTAAGTTTAATTATTCTAATAAAATAGTATATAGTAAAAAAAATCACATTCTCAGAAATTAGGCCATCGCAAGTGGGATTCGAACCCATGACCTTTGTATTAGAAGTCCAACACACTATCCATTGTGCTATAGTGATACAACGAACGAGTTTTCTTTTCTATATATGCTGTTAGACTATTATTTTTATTTTTGTTGCACAATTTATGCATTTTTTAATTTAATTAATGAATTTATATTTGAAAAAATGTATAAACATCAAGTGCCAGTTATTTTATTAACGATTAAAAATCTGAACAAGATATATATATATATATATATATGTATGTATGTATGTATGTATGACATGTTTTTGGAGTCAGAAACAGACTTAGTTTTAAAAAAGGTCTTTATTCTAGAATGATTACATCTGTTCTGACGCAAGAGGCAGATACAAAAAGAACGCCATCGAAAATCTTAAGTGGGTTAAACACTTAAAACACAGATCGCGGTGTTCATGAGTGCTCTTGAAAGTTAATGCTGACATATAGGGCTATTAAATATAATGATCTGGAATTAGACATGTTTATTGATTAGGCCATATATTCGGAAGAAATAAATGGGTGATTAGTTTGATACTTGAAGAGGTGAGGAAAAAGATGAGTTAAGTGCTAGATAGAGAATTTAATTTTTAATCTAATTTAATATATATATATATATATATATATATATATATTGTATAATAAAATAAAAGTGAAAAAGTTCTAAAACCTACAATGCTAAAGAAGAAAGAAATTGGAGTTCATGAGGCACAGCAAATGTAAATACAAAAAAAGTCTTTGGACTAAGCATGAGACCTATTATGATTTCTAAAGCTGTCGCTGAATTAGGCCATCGATTTAGGGTTAAGCAATGCTTTATGGATCCACCTTCCCCGTACAGCAGAAATTTTCGACATAATAGAAAAAAAGAAAATTAGAGCCATGTTGAAAAGTTAAGCATATTTCTATCACGTGGATGATAAACCTGACAATATAGTAAAATGAAATTATGAAAAGAGAACAATAATGTATCTCTCAAGGAGAAAAATAATAATATATATAGATAGATATAGATATATAAGGAGAGAGTGAACTATAATAGTAGAAATTGAAATAAAAAACACTGATTTCGATTCAAAACCACGAAAAATGTGTTGCTCTTTCGCTTTACGTCTCTTTTATATTGCCATATTTTATACAAGTTATTGCATGTAGTGGCAAGATTTCGTTCCTACCTGAATTTCATAAATAGCCGCAACTTCTATCGGCCTGATATCCACCATGTGTGGCTTGGCATCACTGATATTTTATGTACCTATCTATAATATTTTACTTTTAAGAATTTTTTAACATGTAAGAATCATGATTAATTTATTTTAACTTTCATGATAATGAAATGCGAAAATTTTATGGAACTTTCAATTAATTCTTCTCTTTTTTTTTCGTATTAATTATGATGAGAGGATAATACCATTTTTTTGGTGAGGTACCTCGTATTTTGAAGCCGTGAGTGAGTGAATGAAATGCGTCACAAATATTGTACTTTATATCAAAACTTTCCTGAACCCTCAAATTTTGTCCATGTGACCCTAAAATAATTTTGATTCCCCATGAACCCCCTTAGCAATCCTAAGCACTCCCGGGGGCTCATAGGAACCCCTTTCGGAACCTATGATACGTATGAAATAAATTATAAATGCGTTAACTACATTCCTCTTTAATAATACAGTATAAAAACAGTTCTCTTAATCGTAGAACACACTGTAACGCTTTCCCGCCTTGCAGCTGGATCGGCTTTTCTAGGTAGATAACATTGCGCCATTCACATCCACACATGCACTCCTAAAATATTGCAAGATCCTCTCATCTGACATCACTCCGCGATAGCCTATATCCTCGAAACAAACAACATCTGCACTCCATCTGGAACCAGAACCTCGAGTGGAATTCGAGAAGTAAGAAGAGACCGCCCCAGCCCAAGAGAGCAATGGAGATCGCTTGGAACACTTGAAAAGGGACGTTGTGTTTTGCTCTCATCCATCACCAAAAAAATGTTCTGTTGTATTAAAACACTCAATAGTTGGAATATAATTTTTTATCTAACTGTAAATATTGTAATTAATAGCTGAAGACGTAATAAATCAAAAATTTAATTCTTTAAGTCACCCGCTACTCATCAATTTTCCCAGTATATAATAACACATATACAAAATAAATTACAATGATGTGTACGACAAGTCATAAAAACAATCTTGGAGTATTTATGAATTACAATTTAATATTTTTTTAAAGTAGAATACGTGTGCTTATGTTAAATTTTACCAAATAGGATTTTCTAAAAAATTTTAGTTATTAATGTGTATCATATTTTATTACATGTATAAATCATTTAATAATAGAAATGATACATAAAAGGGAGAATCTGAAGCACAGAATCTGTGCTTTGTTTAACTGCAAAAATCAATAAATGAGAGGGACAAAGAAAAGATATATAATTCGAGCATTTTTTTTTTAAAAAAGAAACCCCTTAAAACAAGATTTAAAAAACTTATGAAGTAAATACAATTTTCTGGAGTGTCTTGAAATACTTTTAAATACTCTTATGTGAACTAATAAGAATTTCTTTTAATTGAAGAATAAATACATTTAATCATTAGAAAGAATCATAAACAATTTTGTTCTTAACATTATTGTTCAAAATATGCACTTTATTTCTACTTAAAGCTGTATTTGATCTAATATAATCATACAGTGTATGAAATATTCAAATCCATTTATAATTACTTTGATATAGTATGACTTAAGTTTATTTAGAATAACGATATTATTTATTTGTGAACTAAATAAATTAAATTAAAATTAGATTTTTCATTTAGTTTTCTTCCTTGAGAAATTCTTAAATATCTTAGGTAAAATTTAAGTATTTTTTATAAAATAATTTATTTTAAAATTGTTTGTCATTTCAGAATTATATGCTCTTAAGTCTCATTTTAAGTTAAGATTGGATTTTTCAATCAATAATTATAATAAATAATTAAATTTTTTTCCTGGAGTCCATCATTTTTTTTAAATTTCTGTATCCAAAAAAACAGCTTAGAAGTTTAGGAAATATCAATTTAATGTGTGTAACAAAAATAACACATTAGTTTTTTTAATTATTTTTATAAATTATTTTTCTTTTTCTTTAAAATAATAAATAATTTTAAAATAATATTTATTTTTTTATTTTTCAATAAAATGCATCATTGAACATCTGTGTCATCTAAGTTCCGTTCACTCTTTTCTTTATTCTTTAAATTTTAAGAAGAATTACGAAATAATGATTTTTATCCAATCGGGTAATTCAATAAGTGTACAATATATGATATATTCTACTTGTTCTTTACGTTTAATATTGTTTGGATGTTTCGGAAAAGATTATATGATGATGATTATATGAAAAAGATTATTTCTTTTTTCTATTTTCTGCACATATATATATTCCATTTTATGAATTTTTTCAATTTATATATTTTAATAAAATTTATTTCCTTTATTTTCCTGAATTAATTTCCTGTATTTTTTTTCCAGGGCAACTATATTTTTTTTTTGACTGGAGATGCAGTTACCTCATGTATAGATTGTAAATCTGTTTCAATCACATTAACATGCCGCCCATCCGGTATATTGGTTAGTGACGCTGACTGCGGTGCCGTAGGGGCTGGGTTCGAATCCCGCGTAAAGAATGTATGTTTGTGCTGTAATCCTTCTCTTCTTTGTGATGTGTGCTTCAAGCTTACTTCTATGTGTGCCCCGTGGGATACTTTGTGGTGCACAGGGTTATAAATGTTCTCAATAAAAAAATCACATCAACACAAGTATATAAAGAGGTTATACACTCCATAAAAGAACAAACTTCATACTAAGAAGAGTTATCTAAATGGGCCGCGGAATTGAGTGCACAGGTATCTTGCAGTAAAGTATGAAAATGGTTAACTTTTGAAGGTCAATGAATGTGACTCAGTGGAACTCAAACCCGAAGCATCCGAATGCTGTGCAAAGCAGGGAACATTCCAACGCTGTATAAAGAATCACTTCCATACGAATGTGGTTCAGTCCCTCCAAATGAATTGGAACAATACCTCATTAACAGTTCGCTAACAGTATGAGCAGATATCACCGTTTAAGACAGAATGAGCTATTAGACTAAAGGAGAAGCAGTACGGTCAAACAACAGGGTCGTTCGACATTTGAGTCGGAGTGATGTTACCATTCTATGATGTCAGAAATAAGTGAACCTTTGCCATACAAAGCGTCGAGAAGGTAGCGGTCAATGACAGAACGGGAAAGTAAAATGATCATCCTATCGGCTGCATGAATCTCCGATTCATCCTTATGAACAATTCGACATGACCATATCGATATGCGATTCAGCAAACAGGAGCTGAGTTCATGAAGGTCATTTTACTGATAGGTCCCGCTGATGCACACCGCTAGTCTAGTTTGCGATCACGCCAGGTGTATTTCTGGAATCACATATAGTTTAAAGTAGGATTGTTTTCAGTGATGAACCCCACATCGAACTAAGCCCTGATGACAGTGGAGTAACATAGAATATTAGGGACCCTGCAAAGTCAGGTTTTGGGATCTTACAAAAGATACGTACTTGGTTTCAGTCAAGATTTCGGCCCCCTAGAATCCTTACCCCCCCCCCTCAAGGCGAGGGTGTACGTTACGCCACTACCTGATGACGATAGAAAACCTATCTGGAGAACTTTAGGACAGTGGAGGGATACTGACCTGACTATCAGCCGTATATCAGAATAACCATAAATTGCGGTGTTGAGTACCATTTCATTTGATAGTTGGATCTCTTTGATTATCATACTGACAACTTTACAATAAGAGGGCATACAGACGAAATTCTATGATCTGTTATGTTGTTCTTTTCGCAAACTCATGGGCTTACATTTCAACAGGATAATACTCTGGCACGCAGTAATTTGTAGTCTTTTGACTACAAATTACTTCTCCATGATTTTCCTGGTTCCCAATTGTCCTTCCCAGATCCCTGTTCTCCCAGTTCTTTTCTGAAATGTTAAAATATCTATAAGGTTAAGTACAAAAAAATGTTTCATTT